TAAAAAAAAAAAAAAGAAAAAATAAAAAAAAAAAAAAGAAGTAGGGAACTACAGGGCCGGCCCAGTGGCGCACTGCTACAGTGCGCCGCTTGGGAGCACGGCGGCGCTCCCGCCGAGGGTTCGGATCCCACATACAGACCGGTTCCCGCTCGCTGGTGGAGCGAGGTGCGGGCGCAGCACCGAGGGTTGCGATCCCGTTGCCGGTCCTGGTCTGGTACGGGCGCGACACTGAGGGTTGCGGTCCGTTGCTGGACATGAAAAAAGACAAAAAGGAAAAAATAAAAAAAAGATACTTGTGATATAACTGTACTATGTCTTGACTATGGTAGTGGTCTCATGAATCTACACCTGATGGTATATACATACACTCACAAAAGAGTGCACTTAAAAAAGGTAAAATCTGAACAAGGTAGATGTAATGTATCAATGTCAATTGAAGGTCACTCCCAATTCAAAGATCCTATGATTCACTAAACTGTCAGTTTGTAAAAGGGGGGGGGGGAAGTAATGTATCAATGTCAGTTTCCCAGTACTAAAGTTATACAAGATATTACCATTGAGGGAAACTGGGTGAAGGGTACACAAGAGCTATTATTTCCTACAACTGCAAGTGGATCTACAATTACCTCAAAAAAAGGCTAAAAAAAGACTTAAAAAAAAAAAAAGACTGATTGGATTTAAAAAAAAACAAAAGCCAACTATAAGTTGCATATAAGAAAAAAACCACTTTAAGTATAAAGACACAAATAGGTTAGAGTAAACAGGTAGATTAAAAAATAATAAAAAAAAAGTAAAAGGGGAGAAAAAAGATATACCATGCTAATAGTATTCAAAAACAAAAAAACCTGAAATGGCTATATTATCAAACACCACAGACTTCACAGCAAAAAAATTACCAGTGATAAAAAGAAACTATATATAACAGGATAGCACATGCAAAAGAATGAAGTTGAATTCTTACTTTACACCACATACAAAAATTAACTCAAAATGAATTAAAGACCTAAACGCAAGCCTTGAAACCATAAAACTACTAAAAAAAAAAAAACTGTCCCTATTAGCAGACATGACTGTCTATGTAAAACACTCCCAAGGAATGCCTAGAACTAATAAATAAGTTTAGCAAGGTCACAAAATACAAGGTGAACATACAAAAATCAATTGTATTTCTATATACTAGAAATGCACAGTTGGAAATTGTAATTTTAAAAAACAATACCATTTACAATGGCCCAAGAGAACAGAATATTCAGGTATCAATCTAACAAAACATGTACACATCTGTACGCTGAAAAACATTGATGAAAGAAATCAAAGAAAACCTAAATAATGGAGAGACACATGTTCATGGGCTGGAAGACTCGATATAGTAAACATGATGATTCTCTGAAAATTGATGTTCACATTTAAAGCAATTCCAGTGAAAATCACAGCAAAATTTTTTATAGATATAGACAAGCTAAGCCTAAAATTTGTATGGAAAGGCAAAAGAACCAAAACACATAAAACAACAATTTTG